TGGCCCAACTAGACTGTTAGTCCGCAACATTCATGCCAGAACCGGCCCACAAATATAGACATGAGGCAAAACCATATAAAGTTGTCCGGCGTCTGGCCCTATTTTGGCCTATGTATCTAACATCTGCCCTGTGGTCAAGCAGCACTCACGTAGCAGAGCGAGAATTGGCCCAAAACTGTCTGCTATCTGGAATCATCATAATCAACATTCAGACATGCATTCTGCACTCTGCATCTTTGGTCACACTGTTTTTTGAAGTTAAGGTGAAGTTTTTAGTAATTTTCTTTTGCTTTTTGATTGAGTGAGAGAGGTGCAGAGGGGCTTGCATGTTACCCCTGTGCAGGCCTGTAGTAATTCAGCACAATTACACTGTGTTTGAAATGATTTACTCAATAACTCATTCACTACACAGTGTTTATTATATTGGAAACTGGCTTGAAATGAATGATCAAAAGATTCAGCATTGACAACTCAAACAACACTTCAACATATCTGACACATTATCTAGTGCACTATTTCCGTAGTAGGGAGTGGTTTCAAATGCAGCTTTAGAGATGTAGTCATAGAGGAAGTGTAAATATAGCAGAAGACGTCAGTCTCTAGAAGTTTTTGCACATTCCTTTCAGACAGGCTGCTTGTTTTAATGCAGTGTTTGTTGTCACTGCTGGGTGCATTGTGTGGTTGCTAATGCTGCGCTGATATGTTGGTGGTTACCAGCCGCGTGTTGTGAAGAGACACTTGTTGCACTGAGAGAGAGAGAGGGAGTGGAATGGATGGTTGTGCTGAGATGCTTGTGCATTACTAGTGCTTTGAGTGTTGAAGCTGCTGTTAAACCGCAGAACGTTCATACTGCACTAGTTGACAGGGAGCGTCATCTCTTCCAGCGTGATCCTCCTATTCAAAGAATGGCTGAAGAACGCATTAAAACCTGTGCTATCTACCAGGAACGATCAGGCCTGTCTGTGCATGCTGAGCCATAGAGGTAGCTCAGACTGTGTGCGTGTATGTGTGTCCTCAGCCATGTGGTTCCACCGGAAGAGGAAACTCCCTCGTAGAGCCAGAGCCTACATGTGAGTATGAAAGATTGGAGACAGAGGAAGAAACAAAGGAAGTACTGACAGTAGCATTGTGAGTTTACAGTTAGAGTGGAATCATAGAACATTTAAACCAAACTCACTCCACGTTTCTGTCTGTATCTGTGAGTACAGCTAACAGGGATAAGACAGTCATCTGTTTTAATATAATGGTGACTGTCCTATATAGCTGTGTAAAAGTGCATGAAGATAGCAGGGACGCACCGATTGTGAATTTGTATGATTCTGATTCTGATTCTAATTTCTTTACAGCCAAATTGGCCTTTTTTTGCCTTTTTTTAACCTGAAGCTCACACTGTGTGGGATAAATGAACACATTTATTTGGCAAACTTGCAATATAAACAACATTATTTGCTCTTTAAAGGGGCCAAACTAGCTTTTTAAATTGTTCATAGTCAATATATGAATCAAACAAAGTGCTACATAGAAAATAAGAGGCAACTGGTGATTTAGCACAATGACTTCATACCTAATTATGATACAGCATTCACAGATTATTTGTATAAACTGTATGGTAAACAGTATTTGTGCTGGTGATAATTGTATATTTGATTTGTTTTAAAGAAATGCATAAATATATATATATATATATATATATATATATATATATATATATATCATTGGATTTGTTGGTGTCATAAAGAAATGTGAGAGGTTCAGTACAACATCTACAAGCGCATGTGGTGAAATGAGTTTTTTTTTTAATGTAACAGTATTTTTTACACAAGCCTAAAATACAGCAGTGTGATCCCAATCTAAAAATGTGATGACCTGCCTGGAATATACAGTAATGTGGGTTAATGTTTTTTAGCCAGTGTTTTTTAGCCAATAGCATTGGTTGAACAAATGTTTTTGCACTTAAGATTCCTACATTCTTGTGATATTAGCCAGCAGTACACAATGTTTCAAAGTAAACAATGCCTTTTTGGCCAAAAACGTCACAGTGGTTCATATATGTTCGTATGGCGTGGTGTGCGCTGCCGGTTTAACAGAACTCTGAACCGCCACCTGACTGTGACTGGTCCACTGCATGAAGCCAGCCTCTAGTGATGCTGAGACGTACACTGACCTCTTTTTAAGTATACTAACAATGCGTTGCATGGAAGTAGCTAAATTTTGTTTACAATGTGAGAATAACTGATTTATAAAGAATATCTTTATAGCAGGTTGAGTGTTCAGTAATGAATCATTCATACTGTATTACTGCACCTAATGCAGAAAGCAGAGAAGGTGCAGCAGTTTGGCTCTTCACTGGTTCTTTGTACTCCATCCACAGTATCTCTCTCTCTCTCTCTCTTTCTCTCTCTCTCTCTCTCTCTCTGCATGCTTTCTTTTTCTCTGACTCATCGTCGGGTGACTCAAAGCTGCAAAGCTGTCGCTACCCATGGTGCCTGGCTTCTCTCACATGACAGAGTGGCACACATGCTCTATTTTTTTTTCCCTTCTCTCTTCTTCTGTACTCCTCCCACCCTCTTTCTCACTCTCTTACTCTTTCTCAATCCTCCTTGTCCTCCCTGTGCTCCTCTTTCACGCTCCTCCCATTCTCCTCTAGTTCCTCAGGTTTCTCTGCTGCTCTGTATTGAGGCCAGATGGCTAGGCCCTGGATGGGCCACATATGGACATTTGCAGGGTTAATGTTGTGTTGGAATGCTAATTTTGTTGTTTACACACTGTGTCTTCAGCGTTAGCAGTGTGGACTTGTTTTGGTCTCGTCTTGTTGACAACATGGCAACAAGCTGATGACCTTGTGTTATTTCTCTGGATCTGTTTTTGTTTCTACTCCTATTGGCCAGTTCAGATCCAAACCACTGTTTAAGGCTTTGTTTATGCTAGGGCCTGTTACAGTTATTACATAATCGCCTAATAATTTTTGATGGTCGCAGTTATTTAAGCTGACTGTAATAAAAGCTGGCTGCAGTAAAAGTCATTTGATTTCAATTGAGTGCGTTGAGTTGAGGCACATAATCTAAATAAAATAGTAAATATATTTATTAAGACAAATCATGGGGAAAAAGTTGGTGCTCTAACATGTTAAGTGGGCAGTGCTAGCAATGTTTATTTCTTGGCTGTGTAGCTGATACTAATGTTTTTAGCATATATGCTAGTGGAGTGAGTTTTTTGGCCTATATTTTCGTTCTCAAAAAATTCCAGCTTTGCTCGACTCTATGCATGATTCTGTGTAACTACAGATAGAAATGTAATATATTATTTCGACAGCACAACCAGTATTAGCTACTAACTAAACACTGCTAGAAAGCAAGATGGCTGACTGGCCTGTTTGGCCATTTTAGGCTTGTACATCGCAATTGTTTAAATCACAGTTAATCGTTAGCTATAATTTCATGATTGTGACAACCCCAGTTTATATAGTTTATACCTTAGTTGTCAAGACTTTGTTGTTGTTGTGCTATTTTGTATGTAATTACATCATCATAATTATTTACATAATGAGCTTTGTAGCAATTACATTCATTTGACAGTTTTTTCTGTTTGTTTGGATGTAAATACAGTGTTACATTACATACAACATTGTTGCATTAAGTTCAAATAAAAATAAAATAATTTCTATTTTACATACAAACACAAATGTAGTATCACTTGAATATTTAGAATCTGGTCCCACCTGCCGACCTGGTCCACCCTGACGTCATCTGATTATGCCATTGGAAACTGTTTAGCTGCTGCAGTGATAGCCTCACTCTGCAACTACAGCTTATTTAATATCTTAGTTTATTTTATTTTTAAGGCTTTATTTCATAGTGTTAGTAGCAAACAACCGAGCTGTTTAGCTTTTAGTGTTTCTCACTCATGGCAGGGACAGTGGCAGACGTTTTGTGTAATATCTAATATCATGACGTTTAAGCTGACAATGAATTGAAATAAATAAATGTTATAAATGATTTAATTGTATGTTCTTGTTCAGTTAGCTATTAAAGAAGCCTAAAGTGGCCTAATTGGCTGATTACCCACCTTGCTTACTAGCTCTGTTTACCTAGTAGATGACACTGATTGTACTGGGGAAACGATACACTACACTGTTACACACACTTGCACGAATGTCTACAGTTTCACAGTGTAGTGTCAAACAAAGCTCACATTTTTATTGGTAGTAAAAATAGAAGCAAAAAGTTTAGCACACATGCTAAAAAATGTTAGAGTTTGCTAAACAGTGAACAAATAAACTTCAAAATTATATTTATGTGCCTTCCAAATCACATTACGCTTGTTGTGGCATAATATGCCTGTGAAATCTAATTAACTGTGGAAAATGATTGCAGTCATCTTAAACCTAATTGCGACCGTCTCAAGTAATTGCGATCATCTCCAATCATTTAGATTAGGCCATTACGTAATGATTGTGACAGACCTAGTAATATAGCTAAAAGACTTGCAGACAGAAGCTGTCTGTTTAGCTAACTGTTTTTCAACAACTGTAACTTTACCAAATGGTCCTCCAGTAACCTGATTCATTCTGAGTTTTGCTACATGTCGGCTATTACTTTGTGGAAATATCTTTGGTCTTAAACTGTCTGTGTAACTAACCCTAACTTTTTTTTACTCTACCTGTGCCTTGCCCAAAGTAACTAATGTCTGATGGCAAGCTTATGCAATAGGCTTAGCACTTTCTTAATAGTGATTAAATAATATTTTTCAGTCTATTATGTTCATGTAAACAGCTTAAGTAACCACCTGGGTGGTTTCAGCCAATGGAACAGTGAGTATGACAAGAGCTAGGTGGAAGGGACACTGTCACCACACCTAATTTCTAACAGAATTTTGCTAGTTTCAGTGGACTGAGAAACAATGTAACAAAGTAGAAGAAGAAACATTTTAAGGTGTAAATGCCATAGGAGACCTACAATAACTACCGACCTTATATGTTCTACATCTTCTCTCTCTCTCAGTGTGGAGGGTGATCCTCAGTGTGGGGATACGGGCAGTTTCTCAGACAGCTCCTGCAGTCAGGGCCCGTACCTGGGAGCTTCTGAGCGCTACGGAAAGCCCAGTGGAGCTTCTGCGGGCCCTCAAGGGCCTCCTGTGGCCCCCCCAAGCCCAGCCAGCCTGGCCTGGGCCCAGCGCACTCGCCTCCAACCCGCCAGCCTGGCTCTGCGCAAGCAGGAAGAGGAGGAGAACAAGCGCTGCAAAGCGCTCTCAGACAGCTATGAGCTCTCCACAGACCTGCAGGACAAGAAGGTATGTGAAAGAGATTAATAATCACTAATATGTTAATAGAATTACATAATAGACACATTTTCATCATATATACTTTATATTTACACTTAACAAGCATGTGTCAATACCTGCTTTGATAGCTGTTTATTAAAAACTTTGCAATAAAAGAACATTGCCTTGGCGGTGACTGTGGTGTCCCCCTGCGAGCTGGTCCACTGTGACATCATCCTATCTAGGTTATTTTGTTAGGTACTGTTTAGTGACAGTAGTGTACTTCACACAATGGAACGACATGACGCCAAGCAGACCAGCTCGACCAGGGTGGACCACCACGGTCACCCCGTCGTCATTTTAGCCACATTAGCCAACTCTTACTAAATTCCAGCAAAATCTGATTTGCTGCAGTTATTCAAACACCCACAATATAAATAGAACAATATAAATAGAAAACCCACAATATAAGTAGAAAAGTATGCTGTGATGTAATTTATCACAAAAATGGTAACATAGCGTCATGTGGCTCATGCCTACATTGTATTGCTTTTCAGAATGGACGTTATTTTTGTAATCCTTATTGAAAAATTCTTACTGCCTCTCACTGTGACTAAAGATTACATTAATCTTTTTTATGCAAAATGAAACCAAATTCAAGCAGGGAATTCTAATGGCATAAAATCTAATACAGTAACTTCACTCCACATCCAACCTTCTGTTACATTGCTTTTATTATCTACTGCTGATTATATGGTTGAGCTGTATAAAGAATAAGGAAACATGATCATTTTTTCCAGAAATTAAAATGCATTATTTATTTTCAGTTGCATTCATTTTGTATGTATATGGAAGTCACAGTGGATGGACTGGATGTAATGTTTTTGTTGGATAGTATGGTGTCAAAATTGTTTTTTGCAGCTTTCCTTTGCAGGTTAGTAGCGTCGAACTGGATGCTTAGTGTTATGAATGTTATGTAGCAAAACCCCAGCCTAGTCATTAGGTGAAATAGGACTTTTGCCCATGTTTGTAAAGCTTGTTCAACAGATGTTCTGTGGCAACAGTTGCAACCAGCCGTGCAATTTGTTTTTAGCTCCTATGTTTTTTTTTGTTTTGTTTTTTTTTTTGTATTAAGGCCCCCTGAAAACTACCCACTGACAACTAAATACTTTTTCAGTGCCTAATATTACATGTATTTTAAAGCTAAACAGTGTAAGATGTTTGTTAAAATTCAAAGAAATAGCATTGATGAGTCAGAAGGAAAAAACACACTAAAATATGATGACCTTGCGCTGCTGTGCGTCAACATCTAAAGCCTGAAATAACCATTTTAAAGTGAGGTGCGGGTTGGATTTTGCAGGAGTTTTTCAGACCATGTTATACATCTTTACGTATTAACATCACACACATGGCCTCAAAAAGAAGGTCTGACGTTTAGGTCTCAAAGGTAAAATCAAAGTTATACTGATAAAGATATGATAACAGTGGTAGATCATTCACTTACATTCTCAGAACATATTGTTTTGATTTAAAGTTTTGAGGTTTTTTTTTAAAACAGTCAACACACTTGCAGTCATCAGATTCTTTTGCTCGGGGAAGGGGCGAGGCACAACCGACTTTACGAAATGTTTTTCCACATGTGCATGGAATTACACATTATCACCAGAGAAGTGATAATGCAGTGATAGCGCAGCTTTAATTAATTTTTGAGGCAGTTTAGACGTGCTTGCTAGCAGGTGTATTTTTCTTTTCTTCATTTTTTGATGGAGAACCAGATAACATTCGTCATTAAATCATAAACACGTGGCAGCCATGCAGGTTATCATATAGCAATGTTTAACATAGAAAAGCTGAAATTCCAGTGCAGAATTAGCCATTAATCTGATCACCACTGCCCCATGGGGTTCCCTGTGTCATGTTAGCACCAAGCTAGTGGTGGTATATGCCACCTTTTATGCCATTTATTCCAAGCTCTAGTTTATACAATTAAACTAGCGTTAAACTAACAGATCATTAAATCCTCCTGCTGTAGTTTTCGGTTAAGAGCAAAAATTAAAACCTGTCTCTGAATATTACTGGATGAGTCTGTTAGCCTGTTAGCTCTCTGCCAAGCTGTTCAGTCTACTCTAATGAGGGCAGAATATATTACAGCCTGTTAACAGCATCTAGAAGTCTCACATTATTTTTAAAAGCTCTTCTGAGAAATCAGCGTTTAAAAATACGTATGTGTGAGTGGGAAATCATTAAGCAATAGTCCCAGCCAGTGCTGTAGATTATCACATAGAGCTAATAGACTGGAAATTAGTCCATTGTAGGAGAGACAGGGGGAAGGTGAAATGATGCTGTAATGACATAACTGTGAATAGTCAAGGGATTTACACAGAATAAGTCTTATGTACTTATGTTGCTTTTGTTATTATCATTAATCATTACAGTGTAGTGCAACAGTCAGAGACCACCATTTATTTCATGCTCAGTCAATCTTTTAAAATTTTTCATGAGATATTTCTAAGGAGACTATATATATATATATATATATTATATATATATATATATATATATATATATATATACTGGACACTATATATATTACTGAAACGAATTAAGTGAAGGGCTGTGAAACAGATTTTCCACATTAGTATGTGGTGTGACCACCAATGGCCTGTAGCAACTGCTGCAAAAAGGGAGCAAAACCAAAAGTGTTGCATTCATATTTTTGTTCAGTATAGGATAATCCACTTGCATAAAGAAATGAAATGTAAAACATGAAGAAACATGATTCCAACACTGAAGTTCAAAAAAATTGTAAAAGATGTAAAGGCAGTGGGACACCTAACAACCCTATAAGACCTGGTAGACCACCAAAAACAGTATTTAACCCCTTAAATCAGGGGTGTCCAATCCTATCTGTGGCTGGTGTGGCCGCACGTTTTTATTCCAAACAAGCAGGAGCACACCTGATTCTACTTGTTTAATCAATTGGTCCGTCTTCAAACAACTGATCTTGTGAGCTCCAGCTTGGTTGGAATGAAAACCTGCAGCCAGACCAGCCCTTTGCAGATAAGATTGGACACCCCTGCCTTATATGACTGTAAAGGTTTATGTCAGTTGTCATAAAAGACTTATGTAGGTGTTGTGTAGTCTTGTGAACACTGTCCTTCAGTAAAGTGTTACCAAGAAAATCAAGCTCAGCATGTTCTCAGAACAGTGGACTGACCACCCCACAGTCCAGACCTCATCATCATTGAATGTGTTTGGGATAACTTTGATCATGAGTATAACCAACATTTCGAAGACTTAACCTTGGAGGTCTGGAAAAATATCTCTTCATATTTCTTTGTAAAATGGAAAGCATGACTCCTGAAGAGAAACTGTAAGGTGAAGGGTGATATTATATTCTGTAGTCCTTTTTAGTCTTTAGTGTTTGAGGCTTCCGTGTCATTTTCTGTTTTTTTTTTTTATTTTATTAGTTTTAAAAAGTTTTCTGCTTTTTTCATGCTGAAAAATTAATAACTTACGTATTGTACATATGTATTGGCTGTTTCGACCAGCCTAAACAGCTTATAAGAATAAAGCACCACTGCATTTCTGACATGTTTACTGAGTTTTAGCCCTGGCAGTTAATGTCTGCTGTCTTCTGCCTGATCTCCCCCTGTAATATGGACAGTGTGTCCTTCAGGCATTACGCCAAACCTCCTTCCATCAACTCTGATTATTGGTAAAACAAATGCAGCAAGGCATTGTGGGAAAATCAATACAGTGAGTGTGTGTACAGTAACAGGATGTGTGTTTTGCATGAATAGTTAGGCAGAGGACAGCTGATGGCATAATGTGGAGATTAACAGATCATTCATTTTCATTGCGGTATTGCAAAGTCTCACTTTAACATTTAAACACCAGAGCATTATTCATGCCGCTGAATCACTTTGCCTAATGCACAATGTCACAATGACTTCTGCGTACAATTAGACCTTCAGTTAACAGATGAAAGCTGTTAGACGTTTGTAGGTGTATTAAAAGTAAAATGTGTGAGTTCAGAATGAAGAACATTTCTTCTCACTCTCAGGTGGAGATGCTGGAGAGGAAATATGGCGGTTCCCTCCTGAGCAGACGTGCAGCGCGCACCATCCAGACGGCATTCCGGCAGTACCGCATGAATAAGAACTTCCAGCGGCTGCGCAGTTCCGCCTCGGAGAGCCGCATGACTCGTCGCATCATCCTCTCGAATATGCGCATGCAGTACTCGTTCGACGAGCGTCAGCCACAGGTGCGGTGCTGGAGCTCACTTATCTTCTGAACACCCAGGGCCAGATGTGCACACCTGAGAGTGTGTAGCAAAGAAATTTGCATTAGACTGTTTTCACACCTGGTTTAGAGTTTTGTGATGTTATATCTTTTTTCACTGGGCTCGGTTTATTTCACACTGCTGCAACTAAAGTGCCCCAGATTTCACATATATGCGTTTGTTTATTAGTCAGAAATTTTGCAGGGATGCAAGCGCAGTAGAAAAAACTTGGTGTGGCAAGTTATTAACGCCCCTTATTGGTGATATTATGTCTGTGTGGTTCTACAAAATCTTATTCTGGGTTAAAAAAAAATCCAGAAGAGTGAAATAGTGAGCTGAAATAGTGATTTTCTTGGTAAATATTATTTTAATGTCTTTGAGACATACTGAAATAATATTTCCCAAAAGCTGCTATGTTTGCCACCAGTATAAAATTAACTGGCTATGATGTAAACAGTCATTCAGTGAAATTCTCCATTGAAAGAAATTTGCCTTGTCAGACTTCATCAGTGGTAGTAGGAATCAAATGTCTTAAGCGTTTACTGCCTCTAACAGCTCCACAAAATTACACAAAATGGTTATGATTACGTTGTCTGATGCCTAAGACATTGTTTTACCATAGTTTTGAGAGACAGTTTTGGAATAAAACATATTTCTAAGGCAAACTAGTACCCAAAGATTAACCATGACTTTACCATTGACAGCATGTATGACGTTATATCATATAAAAAAACATTTTGAATAGTAAATAAAATGGCTATATTTGCATTGTAGACATTGCGACCCCTGGTTCCTTTCGCCACCATTTTAAAGAAATTAGAGTGAATAAGTTTCTCTACAATAAACTTTCATCTCAGTAACTGAGTAATGCAGTTCTCCTTTAAAGCTTCCTTTGAGACACTACCATTAATTTGTGACTGGTTTTAATAGGTTGAGCAAACACTAATCAAAGAAAATCGGTAAATCAAACCGAATATGTGATTAGCTCTGCTTCTGTGTCTATGCTTTTTTGCATCTTCTCATGTTTTTCACAACCCCCCCCCCTTCCTCAAGTGCGTATCTATGAGGAAGAGAAACGCATTTTGTGGTTTCCTGCATATTTAGGTTGGACTCCAGTTTTGTACATAATTATTGCGCATCTTTTTACATAATAAACAAATAATCACATACGTAACTGTGCATAATACATTGCGTTACTGTACATATATATGCTTATTCAGGCATCCTATTTGGCACAAAAGGCTTAGCACATCTGGCCCCTCAGGCTTGGTAATCCATTCAGCACCATGGACAGGGTCTTTACTTAGACAGCTAGTAGTAAAGGGGGAACTCATTCAAAATGCAGCTACATGCTTTCTGCTTCTAGTGACATCCTGTTGTTCTGCTTAGCATAGTATAGTAGTAATAGTTTCTTACTGACATTAAAAAGTGTCACCAGCCTAATTTTTTTAGCGTATAGAAGCCATTTCTGCCCAAAACTGCGTGTTCTTACTTTTATCATTGTAAATTAACACAACCACTGACTGGGACAAGTATAAGTAGTGAAGATGATGCAAAGAAGAACGAACTGCTATAGTGTCTTCCATATCGGTTCTTCAGGTGCAGTCTCAGACCCCCCAACAACAACAGCAGCAGCAGCAGCAGCGCTATACCTCTCACCACTCCTCTGCCCTGGGCATGGCCAGCCAGCTGGGCACTACCGACACTGAGCAAGACGCTGGGTCACCCTCACACTGCCCATCTGACCGCGAGGAGTACTCCCACGCAGATGATGCCTTCACCAAACAAGTGAGCACTGTGTGTGGTATGGATTAGTGTAATACAGATGAACCTAAATTCAGTTTAATTACAAAGTAAAAGCTTAGAGTCAGGGTTAGTAAGAGTTAAGTGTGCTGCTGGTGTAATACTGTACACTGTAAAAAATAAAAGTCAGTCCAGTTTGAAATTTTAAGTCAAGCTTTTGCAAGGCTATTTTAAATTTTCTCAGCTTAGGTTAGTCAGAGGTTCTCCCAACTTACCTTTATTTAGTACACTGCAAAAAATGGTATCTGGGCAAGTGAAATTATCTTAAATCCAGTCAATATATTTAATGTTTCTCATGTTAAGATTGCTGTAAGAATAATATTATTCTTTTTTATTTATTTTCTAACTATATATATTCTTAAAATCAGAAATTAGATATTTTTTGATACCATTTTTTGCAGCATACTGCACCGAAGTCTACATACTGTTTAAGTTGAGCTTGCTCAAAAAAAAAAAAACAATCCCTCCAATTTAGTCATAGCTAATTCCCACCCTCAGGCAACGACTCCCACTATCACACAGTGCCCACAGCCTGGGAGGGGCATTGTGTGGGCTTCTGCCTCTCAGCCTTCTGACAGCAGAGGGCTTCTGATGATTAAACAATTGTGCCGCTCCAATGCCGTGAAATTACAGCAAAAACAATAAAAATGTATCAGCATGTTAAATAACACATTAAACAAAACATTTTAACACTCTAATCTAGTGTATTATTTATTATGCACAGGTAGCTGTTGTTTATCTAAGCTCAGACATGCTCTCTCTGAATGATAATGCACAAACTAGAAAAGTATGCCAGATAAAAACTGACAACAAATAAAGAAGTGTATTTGTGTCTGAATGAAACCTTAATAGTATTCAAAAATAATAGAACAAACAAAGTAAAACAGGGAAGGACCATGACTGAATAGTGATTCTTTGAAAAATAAGATGCAGAGTTAAATGGGAGTGCCTTTACAGCCTAAGTACTAAACGGACAAAAGGATAAAGAAGTTAGCAGGCTCAGACACTACACCAAGATTACATTTACGTTCAGTTTCTGTGGACAGACTAGAGTCTGCACTTTCTGCTTTTATCCATTTGTTTCAGTGTCTGCAACACACATCAACTGTTTAAGATTAATAACATATTTCCTCTTCTACTTACAAGTACAAATGTGATACTAGTCAAAAGAGTATCTGCACTTTCAACAGAATTTCTGGAAGTAATATAAAATGAAAGTGTTGCTAGTGACACGGCTAGAAAGATTTAAAAAAATTGCACTGGCCTCTAGGGCCACCATGCCAATGAATCTTGTGGCCAGAATTAAGAATTTGTGATCAGAATTATAGAAATATATTTATCATATATACAGTCATGTGTAAAGTTTGAACATCCACAGTGAAATGACATGTTTTGTTGAGCTAACACATCCCCTTCAGAGGACACAAATAAGGCGTTTTTCTATAGTTTCAGTGCACAGTTGCTATTTATTTGCTGAGTTTTGGTTTCGTGGGTGATGGTTGAAGGTGGGATGGGGGGTGTGGGGTTGGTGCGGGATGGTGTCTGGTAATATGCTTTGGTGGTTTTTGATATAGGTTTAATATATCACATGTTTACAGCCTATAAATTGCTTCTTCTTAAAATAATAAATAATCAGTCATCCAGTCATCCAACTTGATTGACAGTTGCGGTAGATGGAAACCATCGATAATGTAGTCAGTCGGCTCAAGCCTACAGGACTACTCCAGGACCAAGACATAGACACACTGCCTTACCTGTGTGTTTGCGTATGTGTTCATCCCTCAGGTCACATCCCTCGCAGACTCCATGGATGATACCCTGACTTGCCGGTCAGGCCGAGGCGACTCTCAGGAAGGCAGTGGTGACGGTGCGGGTGAGGCAGAGGACTTCAGTGAGTGTGTGTGGAGCAGCAAGCCCCAGTCCCGTCGTGGCGGGGGTATGGGCGAGTCTGAGCGAGGTGGACCCACCATGCTGGGGGGCATGCATGAGGACAGCACGGCCACATCCTACAGTGATGTGACGCTCTACATGGATGACGGCGTGCCTTCGTCGCCTCTGTCCATCGAGCGTGCACCCAGCAGCACAGACACGGAGTACTGGGGAGTTGGAGGGGGCGCAGGGGGCCGCGAGGACAGCCGGGACACGGAGGGTGGTGGCAGCAACAATAGCCGGCGCAGCACGCCCTGCACTGAGTGCCGTGACTATCGCCTGCGCGGGCCACACCTGCCTGTGCTGACCATTGAGCCACCCAGCGACAGCTCAGTGGACATGAGTGACCGCTCAGATAGAGGCTCGCTCAGCAGGCAGCTGATGTATGAGCAGGAGCCAGGAGGAGGAGTAGGAGGAGGAGGAGTCGGAGGAGGTGGTGGAAGTTCAGGTTCGCCACAAGGAACACTCAAACACAACCCAGCCGTCCGCTCAGCCAGCGCCTGCACTGCCCAAGGTCAAACCCGTCCTATGGGCCGTCCCGTGCCATCCCCCCTGCCCACACAGCTCCCGCACCACGCCATCCTGCTGCACCACCAGCACCCACACCATGCACTCCAGCATCACCCACTCCACCACCACCACCACCACCACCACCCCCTGCCCCCCCACTTGCACCACCACCCAGGACCCCACTACCCAGACCCAGGCTCACCCTCGCCCACCCAGCCACCCCCACTTACCCCACTCTCCTCTGCCTCGTCCGCGCCCCTGCCCTCTACAGGCATGGAGCAGTCAGACGGTGACAATGACTCACTAAACTCCACCACCAACTCCAATGAAACTATCAACTGCAGCTCGGGGTCCTCATCCCGGGACAGCTTGAGGGAGCCGCTGCCCACACTGGGCAAGCAGACCTACCAGCGGGAGAGCCGCCACAGCTGGGACTCACCCGCCTTTAACAACGATGTGGTGCAAAGAAGGCAGTACCGCATCGGCCTTAACCTCTTCAACAAGTAAGGGCCGGACACTACAGTTGTGTGCAAAAGCTTGGGTGATTCTGGTCAAGTTACATGTTTTTTAATGATTTTTTAAGTGAAAATAAGTACATATCCTCTATAGAGATCAAACTTCTACACATTTTAATGCACCATTACTTTTTATTTGCTGAGAATAAAACATAAAATGTGGCTAAAGTTATGGCACATTTTATATTTTGTGTTTTTGTTCCCCAATATGTCAAAGGGGTATTCCAAAGATCTTTTTTATCTCTGCACAATTAAAAGAGTGGTTTGATCTGAAATGCTCTGTTCTAGAGAAACGTACAGAATCTTACTTGCCAAGAATTTTTCGTAGTGGCAGTAATAGGAACCAGATGTCTGAAGAGTTTAATGCCTCTAAAAGCTACGCCACAGAAAGTTATTAAATAAAAATGCAAACAAACACATTGCCTGATGTCTGAGACATTGTTTTACAAGAGTTATAATAAGGTACTGGGCTAAAATTTATTTTTTTAAAGCACGTGGTGGAGGGTGCATGCAAAATAGTCAGAAGACACAGTGGTGTCTGGTGGTTTTGGGTAGTAAATAAAATGTCCATATCTGTGTTGTTGACATTGCAACCTCTGGTTCCTGTCACTACCACTGTAAAGAAATCTGAGATAAGTTTCTGCAATGAACCATTTCACATCAGAATAATTTGAATAATTTTATTTACATCTAAACGACTGAATTATGCAGAAATTTCCCCTTTAACCTCTGCAAACAGTAGAAATTGTGCATTAAGTTCCTCCATTTTGCAAATGCCTTACATCAAGTGCTCACTACTAGATTTTTATATAGGCTCAGCATTTAAGATTATGACAAAAATGCATTTAAAAAGCTTACAAAATGACTAGAATTTGTCATTCTTTACTTTTGTGCATTGGTGCATTGTATAGCCCCGGAAGCATATCAGCCATTTTTTTGCCCATTTGATACCTTTAGCCCCTTCAATGGAATGATCTTCCTACAGAATTTCAGGCGGTTTGTGTGTATAGCATCACTGCTATTCCACTGTCAGCCCCTGGTTATAAATTACATCCACTATAATTTCTGTATTAGTCTCTTCAGCAAAATTACATTGATGTATTAAGTATTGGCTAGGAACAACCAACAGCTGTAGTAATACATCCTGTTTAATATTTCACTGAATAACAACTGATATATTATGAAGGATTAAGTAATTTTGTATTTTTAATGAAATTGCTGGTCTTACAGATGCTCAGAGTGCTTCAGTAAGGGAATACCTCTGAAGGGTTAGCAGCATTTGGAGATGAAAAACGGTTGAAAAAAAAGTAGCAATAAAAAAACAGGCCGTCTGAGGCTAAATGGAGAGATAGACAGAAAGAGATGGGATAAGAGCTAAGGCTACATGAAATACGATACAAATATACAAACCCAGCTGGCTGTGTTTGTGCCCTCAGGCGTTCAATTCAATTCGGTGTGAGCCCTGCAATTCAGTTTAGTAATATTACAGTGGCAGGAGTGTATAGCTAGAGTGAAGGTGATTGATCTACAACCACATCATGGCAAAACAAATAGCCCTCTCTCTCTCTCTCTCTCTCTCTCTCTCTCTCTCTCACACACAGGAAGCCAGAGAAGGGCATCCAGTACCTGATAGAGAGGGGTTTTGTGTCTGACACCCCGGTGGGCATCGCGCGCTTTATCCTGGAGAGGAAAGGCCTGAGCCGGCAGATGATCGGGGAGTTCCTGGGCAACCGGCAGAAGCAGTTCAATAAAGACGTACTGGAGTGAGTGCTGCCATGTTCATGTGGAGCTCTGGAGCCCTGCCAGTTCGGACAGGGTCATACTAAGGTTGATAGCTAGCCTCAGGACAGGCAGGCAGTAGTTAGTGTGCAGGCTTTAGAGCTGTAGATGCAGGGAGGTAGCAGGTGCTGGAGGAGGGTTACAGTATGAGCTGTAATACTCTATACAGTGTGCTGTGTCTTCATGAACAGTAAGAACTACAAAATTTTGCCAGCAGAATTGACTGAAGCTCAAACTCAGAATTTCCCATCTCCCACTATGAAAAATCTAATAACATGACCCCTCAACTGGGAATTCCTACTCAGAACATCAGGATGGTGTTCTCAATTCTAGGTTTATCTTACAATGTCAGACTAACATGACTGCTCACACTGTCAACAGTAATAAAGCACCACTTCTCTACTTTTAAATGATATTTGCTTTAGATCAGTCAACACACAGTAGCTGGTTAAACTGTAACATTGACCATAAAGTTCGCTATTTTGAGAAGGTACATCATGAACATTAAAGCTGTCACTCATAGCCAGCTAGCTTGTTAATAACAGTACTTGTTTTAACGGAAGTGTCCGTGTTTTTTTGATTTGTTAGCTTGAACGCACAGAATTTGTAACTTGAACACACAGAGGTTGAAAATGCCACAATTCTGAGCTCTGACTTCCCACTTCTGAGTCAAGTTTAACGCAGCATATTGCGTTTCATTCAACTTCAGTGAAGTCTATAACTTCATAATACATTTTCCGTATTTCTCAGCTGTGTGCTGGATGAGATGGATTTCTCCGGCATGGATCTGGACGATGCTCTGCGTAAGTTCCAGGCTCAGATTAAGGTCCAAGGAGAGGCGCAGAAAGTGGAGAGGCTTGTGGAGGCCTTCAGGTAAACTCGGATCATCATCTGCTTGCCTTTCTTACTGTCGCCCTATCCTGTTAGCACCTGAATGCTTGTAATTGTTAGGGTAAAGGATGTGTATCATTCACTCTCCCGCTCTCTCTCTTCCTCAGTCAGAGGTACTGTGTGTGTAATCCTGCGCTGGTACGGCAGTTCCAGAACCCTGACACCATCTTCATCCTGGCCTTCGCTATCATCCTCCTCAACACAGACATGTACAGCCCTAACGTCAAACCTGAGAGGAAGATGAAGCTCGATGACTTCATCAAGAACTTAAGAGGTGATTGTTGTTTGCTGATTTGAATTGTTCAGAGTGCTACTATTGTGAAAAAATGGTTTATTGACTGAGACACATTGTTTCCAAACTATTATTTATGACCACACTATTATCTTCATTGTCTCCTTAACCTTACCCTCTCTCTCTCTGTCTGTTTGTGTGTGGTAGGAGTAGACAATGGGCAGGATATTCCAAGGGACCTGTTGGTAGGAATCTACCAGCGCATACAGAAGTGGGAGCTGAGGACCAACGATGATCACGTATCTCAAGTGCAGGCTGTGGAGAGAGTGATAGTGGGCAAAAAACCTGTAAGTGGGGATACAAATCGGGAAAATAATAGAAAACTTGCATATCTAAATAAAAGCATCTCTATAAAGAACAGCATGCTCATATATGTTTTTTATTTTCAGCCGATTTGTGGCCGTTTATGCACTAGTAATCCCTTTTGCAATGTAAAAAAGATTAGTTATTTTAACTTTACAAAGTGAATAACCAGGCTGCCTTAAAATTTTGAGTTATTGGGCAAAAAGAAAAATGCTCAATGGAAAATGTAAGATAAGAGGTTAGTATGAAGGCATGACATTTGATGAATCATGTCAGATAAATAAGTATACATGCCTTAGATGTAACACATCAGCGTTATGTAAGTGCAGTGAAGGGCAAGTGACTGTAAATCTGACTCACCCCAAAAAAAAATTCAGCTCTTTTTTCTTTTTTTTTTTTTTTAAACAGTTTCATAGTCATGGCATAGTCTCTGTTAGCGCAGGGTAGGTATAAGATCATTACATTTTAGTAATCTGTTATTCTAAATATAGTTTAGTATGCTATAGAAAGTGAGAGTGGGGGATTTGACTGGATCTCACAAATGCAAGTAAAAAATTAGTCTTGGACAATAAAAAAAATGCTGTTGATTTATTGTGTGAACTCAGAATTTTAAGGCAGCCCGGTTGCTTACTTTTTTAAGTTAAATCACCTTTTTTGGTACAGAGTGTTCAATATCGGAGCCATGACTATATGTGTGTGTAAATCTGTGTGTACAGGTGCTCTCCCTGCCCCACCGCAGGCTGGTCTGTTGTTGCCAGCTGTACGAGGTTCCTGACCCTAACCGGCCCCAGCGGAGTGGGGTTCATCAGAGAGAGGTGTTCCTCTTTAATGACCTGCTGGTGGTAAGAGCCTTCCTCAGCGCAGCCTCTCTCCAAATCAGCCCCTAAGTTTTACAACAAGCCTATTAGAGCCCAGATATGAAGAAATACTAAGAAAGCGATGCACTATAGTAATATACATTACAGTGTGAATTAACTGTAACATTGCTCTGTGTTGGAACATCCTCAACACAGCAGTGACATTGACATATTAGTGCAGTGGTCTCCAACTCTGGTCCTGGAGAGCTACTTTTCTGCAGAGTTTAGTTCCAACCTGTATCCAATAAGCTGACCCGCCCCTTACTTAACTCTAATACATCTGATCCAGCCAATCAGGGACTTGGGAAGTCGTCAATTAGCTGAAGCCGGTGTGGCAAGTTGTGATTAACCTAGGCTCTGCAGGACAGTAGCTCTAAAGGGCCACTGTGTTAGTGGCATGGGAATGTGTTTATATTAGGCAATATGGCAGTGCTGGGGTCAGCCAAGAGCGGCTCTAGGGTCAAAAACTAAGGGCTAGATGGTGGCTAACACAACTCTGTGTCAGATAAGCTACAGTCTCTATCTATACACTGGTAAGGTACACCTACAAGATAGCTGTTTCTAATAAAGTGGCCAGTGTTCTCCCTAAGTTGAGCCCCTTTGAATGTTGTAGATATGTCAGTGTATAAGATCATATAGTCTGTGTAATCATCAACACCATACCAGTTAATACACATACTCTTCTGTCAGAAAAGCCCTACCACTGAAACTAATACACACATACATACACAGCCCTCTTTAAGTATCACCACACACACAGACACACACCTACACTGCCTTTGTGTGTGTAGGTCACGAAGATCTTCCAGAAGAAGAAGACGTCAGTGACGTACAGTTTCAGACAGTCCTTTCCCCTGGTGGAGATGCAGGTTCACATGTTCCAAAACTCCTGTAAGTATATTCGTCCCTCCATCTGTCTCTCCATCTGTCCCTCCTTCTTTATTTATACTACCACTCCGTTCTGGCTCAGTGCTCTGCTGTGACATTTAGCCGCTCTCTCTCGTCCTGCCGTGTACATTCGCTGATGACAGACGAGTGAAAAAGAGATCCAGTTCATCATATGTTGTAATTTTATGGTCTGTTAGTTCACTGCACTGTGCATTTTGTACCACATGAAAACATTAGTTTTGTGTTTTCATCACAGGCACTAAATTACAGTACAGATTGGAGGCCAGTTTAAGGCTGCTAAGCCATTCCTTTAATACTAAATTTGATCGCACCATAGAAATAAGAAAAATATATAAATGCATCTAAATCTACTTTTCATCACTTTCCAAAAAATAGGTTTCTCCTGTAGTTTTCTGCATAATTTGGGCATAGCAGCCGTCCTTTTCATTGTATGACAATTTCATGATGAAAGGACCAATAAGAGTTCTCCAAAATTACTTGGAATAAAATCCCTTTATATTATCTTACATTAAATGTTTTTGACTTCTCCTGTAAAGTTGCTATTTTGGAGATGCATGTTTTTTTGGACAGGGATGATTTAGAATGTGGATAACATAATGCAAAAAAATTCTCAGATGAGGACTGTCTGTAAAATAAGATCAACCAATAAAACTGCTAAGAATTCTGGGAAACTCCTCCCCTCATATTTCACAATTCACAGTAGACAATCGTATCAGTCAGTTGAACTGACTAAAATTATTTAAGTTACTTTACATTGCATTTTTGACCATATCAAATTATTTTGGCCTATATTATTGGTTATCGGAAGTTTTAGCTCCTTAAGATCAGTAACGGTCACAAAAGTTTTATATTGGTTGAGTCTTAGTTCAGAGTATTTTCATCTGCAATCATCTTCATCTTTTGTTTTTACATTACTGCATGGTCAACAGCATTGCTTTTACTACAGTCAGAATGTAATTTGCTGTGGAATTATTGTCAAATTTGTGAAACTCTGATGAATGAAGTTTTTTTCATCGATAATGGCAAAAAGATGTAAAGTCAATGACGATATTAATGCAATTTTAACTTGTTGATGATGAAAATAACAAAATGAAAATATATATTTTTTTATTTCTACTTTATTTAAATGATCTAATCACAGACTTACATGGTGTCCAGAGCAGTATCTGTCACTGGCAGAAAGCCAAATGGGATATTTTATATTTTAGCATTAGCTCCGCTATGCAGTTTTCAATATTATGATGGCAGTAAGCTAGTGGTTGTGTGTGATCACTTTCCCACACTGGGTTTAATCACTAATAATGCAGTACATTTTAAGGGACATCCTTATCAAAAGACTAAAACTATGATCAGTAAGTTTTAAAAAATAAAATAAGAGTAAAAAGGTGAAAAGAAAAAATAAGATAACTGTGATTGAGTAAAATAAGATGAATAATGAACACTGTAGACTTAGCTGTGTGTGTGTTGTTATTGTTATTGAGTGTTGCATAATGCTAAGATGTACTCCCAGGCTGTGACGTTTGGTAAAATTAAACATCTGACCATTCAGATTCTTTCAAATTATATTACAGACCCTCAGTCCAGCTATTTGAGTGCAGTCAAAGCCTTAACAATCAAATACTGTTTTGTTTCTTCCAAATGAAAAATGTATTTATAATCATGAATCATAGTTCCTCATCAAATACCTCTACAGGAGTACCATTCTGCAAAACATGATTTATCATCTCTAACTGTTTTTTCTCTCCCTCTCTCTCTCTTTCCCTCTCCCCCACCTCAGATTACCCTCATGGTATCCGGTTAACCTCAGCAATCCCTGGAGGCGAGCGTAAGGTCCTGATCGTCTTCACAGCTCCAAGTCAGCAGGACCGTACACGCTTCGTCAGTGATCTGAGAGAGAGCATCGCTGAGGTGCAGGAGATGGAGAAATATCGCGTGGAGTGTGAGTGTTCGCTTCTCGTCTTCTGCACACACAGCTAGATCAAAGATCAAAGCGCTCTTTATCATTTTTGCTAAGAACTTCTGTTTAACATTCACTGCAGAAAAGCAGGCAAATCTCATTTGCACTTGATATTAATGCTGCGTGTTGTGTGTGCCAGGTCTTATAATGAGGCTGAGTGTTCAGAGTTACTCATTTGACTTTCTCATGTCTCTAAAATCCAGTGCGCTACTTTTACAGCACAGGCATAGTAGATGTTGTACATTTGCATTTACCAGCCAAGCAGCTGTGAATAACAAAGGAAAAGGAAGCAGCGGTGAATAGTGTTTATATGCATAGGATCTGTCACTAATAATTTCATCTCTTTCTTCTTCTCACATTCTCTCGGTATCTCGCTTGGTCTCTCGTGCTCCTAATCTACTTCTCTGTTTCTCTCTATATATTTATCTTTCTCACTCTTTCATTCCTTATTTCTTCCTTTTTTTTCTCTCCCTCTGTCCCTCTCACGTAATCACTCTGTCTCTCTTTATCTCTGTCTCTCTTTTTCTTGGTATGAACTGTAATTAACAACTGTTGTCAGAGCACTGAAAAAATGTTTAAAGCTGCACTATGTAGGTTTTGGGGATTTAGAGACCTCTCTGGTGGAAATGTGGAATTGTATGCATGCATGAATGTACAGCAGCTTTAGTGATACTAATATTGAAAAAATAGATTTATAATATCTCTCTCTTTCTCCCTCTCTCTCTCTCTCTCTCTCTGTAGCGGAGCTGGAGAAGCAGAAAGGTGTGATGCGTCCTGGTATGATAGGTGGAGATGTTAGTGGTGGTGTAGATGGTATGAAGAGTGAGGCTGTTAATGGAACTCTGAGCAGAACCAGCCTGGATGACACGTACGCCACAGGGGAGGGGCTTAAACGGACAGCGCTCAGCTCATCTCTCAGAGACCTCTCAGAGACAGGTAAAGAAAACACACACACATAATGTGTGGGTGTGGGAAATTTCCACAGGCATAAATCTTCAATAAAACCAAGTCTAATACTCGGAAAAATCACTCGTAAGGAGACATACCTGAGCCCAAGACATGTTTCACAAACTGAAACATGGTTGCCTGTCGGGCCTTATTGGGTAGCAGACCTCTAATGTGTAAAACATATAACAGATACAATGTCTCAGTGAGCTTTCAGAGACAAGATAAAGCCCAAAGACGTGCACAGTATCACATACATGGAATTACAGTAAAACTTGAATCTTGCTACATAACACTGATTTTACTGTGTCATAAACAGGTCATGGAAATCATATGCTGTCATGATTTATCCTGACAAGCCTTGCTCAGTAACAGATCTTGTTGGACATCATCTATGATGACAATTCATGACAGCCTATTACATCAGTCATGACATGTTTATGGCCTGGCTATGTCAGTGTCATGTAGCAGTGTTCAAGTACAGTGTTGCCACAATTACACACACACACACACACACACATATTTCACATACAGTTGGTCTCCTTAAATAATTGACAAGTGCTAAAACAGTCTATCTTTCTCACACACATGTACACATAGTCTTATGCAAAAGTTTGGTCAAATTACATGTTTTGCTGATTTTGTAAGTGAAAATAAGTGCAAATCCTCAACAGAGAACAAGTACTGTTTCTTCACTGAATTTAACATATTGAGGAAAAACATTACAAATATGGCCTGTGTAAGAGTTTTGGCACGTTTTATATTTCGTTTTTTCTGCTATGTTAAACTCAGCATATAAATAGAAATTCTGCACTTTGTTCTCTGGACTTCAAACTTTTGCATATAACTGTATATAAACATCCTGTCTTTGAATGTTTAGGCTGTAACAAAATGAGAAAATGAGCACAGTGATAATGAGTGCACACTGAAAATCAATAAGGTTTGCTGCATAACAGGCAGGGCAGGCAGCTAGTCTGTTAGTGTTGACCCGGTACTGAGAGATTTTTTGTGCAGCAGAGTGGAAGTGTGCTTTGCACTACCCTCTAGTGGTTCACTTGGGACCTGGCATCTTGCGTTGAGCTGTGAAGAGTCTCAGAAGGTGTGTGATTGTTAGACTGTTTATTGAAGTGAGAATTAGAATGAGAAAAGTGCACCGAGTAAGTGTTGTAGGAAGTAAAGATAGAAGTGATGACTGTGAGCTCTGACAGTGTGTGCAGGGCTGAACACTCAACCACGATGTGGTAACTAAAATATTAAGAACACACTTTTTGTACTTTTATATTAACTATTTCTCAATTCTTAATTTATTAAGTGAGAAATAATTAACAGAAAAAAAACAACAAGGTTTTTATTGCTGGTGATCTATGAATTCTAAAGTGTTCTTGTAGCTCATTGAAACAAGTGGAGAAATTCAGATTCAGATTGATTTTAATTTGATGAGTTATTGAACATTTAGAAACATCTGTTACATTTCTACCACATTCAAAGTCAATAAAGAATGTACATTGTATGTATATGGAACTATTGTTAATAATAATTATTATTAATAACTAATAATTATTGTTAATAATTGTTAAAATAATTATTCTCAACTTGTTGGGGTTGAATAAGGTAGCTCACTGGCACATTTATTCCATCATGTTGGAGACTTTCCATGGTTCAGAGAGTGGGCGTGGCTAAGGATCAGAGGACCTCTTACTCCAAAGCAGTGAATCAAAACACAGTAAAGGCCGTTTTCTTCTAGAATGTGCCAAAACTCAACAAACTAAAGATTGCAGAAGCAAAGGAAAGATTCTAGAAGCTAAAGAACATGTTACAAAACCCACAAGTAGAAAAGTGTGATGGAAACGACTGCAAAATTCTAGATAAAATGAGTGGTAAAGGGACCTCAATATCTTTTTAAAAATTAATTTTAGTTTTTGGCACAAAATTAACTTCATAGTGTTAAAAATTCACACCCTGCGTGTGAGTGAGTGGAATAGCCTACACCTATACTCAAGTACACATTAGTCTTGTAAAATAACACCTTTCCAAAAAACAACTTGAGTAAAAGTACAAAAAATGGCAGTAATAATAAAAAAGTGGCAATGCTTTGTTGTAGAGAACCTTACTGAGTCAGAGGTGGTGATGGGAACCTGTGTTTAATGCCTCTAAAAGCTCCCTCACAGTTATTACATGAAATGGTTATGAAAACGCTGCTAAGCAACTGCTGACGTGCTGCTTAAGACACTGTTTTGCTACAGTTTTTAGATAGTTTGGCATAAAACATATTTTTTGTAATCCATTCATGGTGGGGAGTTACATGCAGGATGATATGTAGGATGATATTACCATCACCGACATCACATATCAAAACTGTGGAGATTAGGTAGTGTAGAGTATGTAGTGTTGTGTAGCTATGTAGGTTAGGTAGTGAATAAAATGGCTATATTTGGTTGCAGGCATCATTACCACAGGTTTCTATCACCACCACTGTAAAGTTATGAATACTATATAGTTATGAATATGCTATAGAGTTATGAATAACATAACTTATAGAACTACAGCATTATGCTTCTCTTTTCAGTGTAAACTTGTTCCCAAATAAAATACTAAGTCTGCAGAATGACAGATATGACCAGTCGTACAGCAGTGCAGATGCTGTCACCAGCAAAACACAATCAAGTAAAGTGTGGATTAAAATGTTCTTCTAACTGCATTCTTCCAACCGAGCTATTTAGGTTTGACTGTATTTATGTTTATTTATATGTATTCTGATGTCAGTGTTTTTAAAGCGAAACATACTGACTGTTTAGTTAATTTTGCTTGGTTGGGTGCAGGGAAGCGTGGTCGCAGAAACAGTGTCGGCTCTTTGGATAGTACCATCGAAGTAAGTTCTGGATGGGGCCCTTTTCACCCCTGTTACTACGTTCAGATGGAACAGTCCTGTGTTGTCCATTGTCACACACCCCGTCTGCATGCCTCATCACTCTGCCCTCTCTAAATTTGTGTCTGTCCTGCTGTGAAGTCATATTTCCGTCAGTGTTGCCAGGCAGCAGAGCTACTTTCTGTGCCTGAACAAACACAGATCTGGCCTTACGGTGTCTGCTGCATGTGGAACAAAGAACTTCCAGCTACATTGACATTTTAGGCCTCTGAGGCTTTAATTCATTACTAGTCCTGCTTGTTGTTGTGCTATCTGAAAATGAAGTGGTACATTCAGTATGTACACTGTCCTTCAAGAGTTTGAAATCGTTTATAATATTGATTGAAACATTATAAACTAGAAACCAGAAGGCTTTTTAGATGTTGTATTCAATATTGTAAGTTTTTTTGGGACCAACAAGATTAAATTATAAACAGTGTACGGTAATTATCTAGTTATAGTCATTTCTTGTGAAATTACCTGCCTCAAGATTTGATCACCACTTTTCAAAAACAGCTCATTCTGGCTATCAGTTTTATTAGAACTTCATTTTAAATTATGACTGGCCCAAACAGCAAATTATGGGCTTTAATATTCTTTTTTCCCAATGAATAGTAATGCTCAAAATCACCCTTAAAAACTGTAATATATGCTTTGTATGTTCGTTACTGCAGTTCAAAGTATATCCAGTAGGCGGCAATGATGTATTAATAGTCAGGCTGAGGCCCAGCTACTCAGTTATGAATACTATATAGTTATGAATATGATATAGAGTTATGAATAACATAACTGATCTGATGTTCTCTTTAAAAGCCTTTGCTGATGAAACAAGTTCAGACTACAATTTATGTGGCTTGAAAAAGAGATAAATCTTGTAAATACAAAATAGAGCATCGAACACCAGTGTTACAAACTAATACTTACTCAGGCCAGTCCTGTTTTAAATACAGCTTTCTCAATTATTGAGTTCAATGATGAGCTCTGTTTATCGTTCTGCACACATCTAAAATTTCTTACATTTGCAAAATTGTTTTCATTTTATTAAAAACAGTGATTCCAAACTTTTGAACGGCAGTGGGAGCATGTGTGCATGTCTTTATCCCATTCATCCTCATCTACCCCTTTAAAACACAGTTGCAGTTCAGTGATGGTGTCTTTCTGGTCTGTCTGTTCAGGGCTCCATCATTAACAGCCCGCGGCCTCACCAGCGTCTGCCTATGGGGGGCGCCCTTCCTGGCTGCTACGGGTTGGAAGACTACCGGCCTCACCGCCCCATCCTGAGCCCCGGTGTAGGGGTGGGGGGTGGGCCGGGGCAGTACCACAACGCGTCGGGGAGCGTGGGGGTTGGGGCGGGGCAGCTCCCTGGCAGCGGCGGTGGGGGAACGGGGAGCGGCTCTGGAGGGAGCAGCTCCGGTTCCTTCCTGGGCTCCTTGTTTGGCAGCAAGCGAGCCAAGCAGCCTCCCGCACCCCTCATCCCCCCAGGGCCACACTACCCAGCCCCCGTGCCCCCGCCCACCACTGGGGGTCCACCACCACCCTCCCCGTCCGCCCTCAGCCAGTCGGATGGAGGGCCATCCAAGATCCAGGCACTGCACGCCCAGTATTGCCACAACAACACTGGGCACAGCGTTGGTCAGCCTCCTCCTCCGTACCACCACCACCACCACCGCTACCAAATGCAGCCTTTAGCCGTCGCCCACCCGCCCCCCGTGCATCATCACACCCTTCATCGTGGCTCCCTGCCCCGCCGCGGCCTGCCCGCTCCCTCACACGCCCAGCTCTCCCAGCAACTGTCCCACGGCCGCCATTCGAGCATGGGCTCTACCCCTCCACCTCTGTCCCCTCACTCGCCCCACTCTCCCGTGGCCCCATGCTTCAGCTTCTACCACCCCCATCCCAACCCAATTCGCGTTCCCGGTCCTACCGGCAAGCTTCCACTCACTCTGTCCCACTCACAGCCTCACCCGCATCCTCACGGCCACTCCCACGTTCAGTCTCATACCCACAGCCATCCCATACACGCCCACCCGCTGCTGCACCACCCAGCCCACCACCAACAGCCCCACCACTTCATCTTCGCCCCGCCCCCTCAGGCACCTTCAGCCATCACAGCCCGCCACATCCCACAGGTCACCGCCCACTACGGCCCCCCGCACTACCCGCCCCTGTCCTCCATCCCGCCGCCGCCGCCGCACTCGCCTTTACCCCCGCCTACCTCCCCCCTCACCCCTCTTACACCGCTCACGCCGCTCTCGCCGCTGCTGCCTCCACCCCCACACCCAGCCCCAGGACCCCCGCAGGTGGGCGGCCAGGGGCCCGGGACGGTAGGAGGAGGGGGAGGAGGCGCAGGGGGCGGGGCCAACACCAGCACGGTCGGCAGCTCCAAATCCAAGCCCGTCAACCGCATCAGCACAGTGGTGTAAGGGCCAGAAGGCCTCGGAGGGGTCAAAGGGGCCGAGGCCCACGCAAGCGGAAGCACACCATGCTCCGACTCTGCTACTTCCACATTCGCTTTCCTCATGTGTAGAGCTGATGGCAATGCAGGGGTAGTATCCAGGATGCTAAGCGCATATGCCATTGTTGATTCATACCAGTACTCATACGTTCTGAATTCAAAATTCATCAATGCAAATTGAAGAGGTTGGAGTTGAAGGCAGAGCTAATCCTGTTCTTTTCCAGAGGTTGACAAAAGCTGGGTGTTCTAGTATGAGCTAGCTAGAAGCAAGGTGTTGCCAAAGTTGGATATTGTGACAGGTTGGTGCCAAACTACGAATTATGAGACAAAGACTCGCAAATTTAGCGGATCCACTTCTACTACTTCAGATCAAGTGTGTTCTGTCAAGCTGCTTCCCTGCTCTTTAGCTGGGCTGAGGACAGGAGAGCAGAACTTGTAGGAGGAGCAGAGGTTTTAAAAAAAAGCTTGAACTTCAGTAGAACTGAGATTTCAGTGAAATCCTATTCGCTCCATTTTTGAGATTTTTATTTTTTCTCTATTGACAATCATTCCAGGTCCAGGCTATTTTGTCACATTCCTCCATACAAGTGGCTCTGAACGTTGGGACTACAGCTTTAAAAGAGCCAGTCATGCACTTTGAACTGTACCGCACCCCTCTTCTTTTTTCTATTGTAATAAGACTTTTTTAGTGGAAAGAAACCATAGGAGAGAGCCATTCAGGAGGCATCATTCCAATGTTGGGGTCTAACATTGCAGTAAGAAAGGGAAATCCTTTGAGAATAGAACACCATATTCAAGATGTAGTTTCAAATCTGCAATAAGCCAGCCATAGCTTACAAATTTCAATTTTTAATTATATGGAGACCTCAGTTTGTTTTTTTTGAAGATGTAATGGATTCATATCTACAATTTGAAAAAAAAAACGTTCTGCCTTTTTTGAACTGGAGAACAATATAGTGAACAGAACACGAAATATATTTTTCTCATTCTAAATTAAATAATTAATAAATTATGTTTTATTGGTCAAATTACATTGATAAATCTAGTAGTTCTGTTTTAATAGATACATCATTTATTATATATCTTTTGACACTATTTTGAGCATGAATGCTCAAGCAAGTTCAGCTGACCAGCTAATTACTTGTATTTGTCAACTTACAGCCTTAGTGCCCAAGGTAAGGTTTCAGGATCGGTCAAGGTGCATCGGTACTTGCAAGTGTGCAGCGCCTTTGTATTTAACCTGAACACACAATGAGTAAAGGGACATACTTAAGAGGTTTATAGAGGAGTTTAATTTAAATCTTGCAGAGTTTATTGTATAGGCATTGACTTTTTCTTGTAAAGTTCAGAGTACAGTTGCATAAACTGTATCACAAACATAAATCGATACTGACATTCTCTCGAGCATTGATTGTACAGTACGAGTCATGGTATGGTCTTTTATTTTCGTTATAACTATTATGATGTCAAATACTACTGATATTATCCTTGATATTTTTGGTGTAACAGTTACTACTAATCTGAGTGGATATCGTTTCTGTGCCGGTTTGTTTTCTAAGAGCTTTTTTTCAAATTAACATGGCGTGATTTCATGTGTACAAACAGAACTTTTGAGATCTTTTAACTGGGCTACCTACTTCAGGAACTTGTTTTGCAGTAAGCTTGAAAAAAAAGGAACTATGTATTTCACACCAAACTCATTGCCAGAAGCCATACACTCTTACTTGAGCAAGTCACTCTTTTTAAGAATGTGAAATTCCATCAAGCTGCATATCTGTGCCCTCCTGTTTCTATATGAAAGCATGCTAATATGACCGGCACGTGCGTGCACACATGCTTATACATGTCGCACTTGGAGGTTGTCAGTGAAATCTTTTTGTATGATGCTTTTACTTTTCTGCTAAAGGTTTGTGGGTTTTGCACACGAAGAGTCAGCGCAGTGCCTCGATACAAGATTATGTCCCACCCCAAACGTCCCCATACACAGTCACTCATAAACAGTACTGTTCAGAAGTCAGAGACCAACTTTTGTTTGTTTAATTTTACAAGTAAAATTAGTACAAGTACAAGTTATTCATATTTCATGAGATATTTGTGAGGAGAATAGATATATAATGATCCACTTGCATAAGACAAGTAGAAGGAATAGAAGGGGTTAAAAAAAGAGTTTCTAAAACTGGATTTCAAATAATTATTAAATGATATTGTGAAAGTGGGACTCCTAACAACTGAGCAAGACCTGGTAGACCACCAAAACTATCACTATCAGATAAACAGTACTTAAAGCTTTCATCTTTGAGAGAGAGGAGAAAATCAAGCTCCACGCTTGCTTCAGATCTAAGAAAATCCACAGGTGTTTCTATCCATCTTACTGTGAAGACAACTCAATGCTATGGGTCTGAAAGGATGTCTATCTGGCAAGACGTCTTTACTGAGAAAAGTCAGTATATAAAAAAGTACATTTACAAACCAAACATGCTGCTAGTGTTCGTAAAGCACTGGCCACCTCCCCTAGACCTCGACATCAGAATATGCAACCGGATTTCTTTGAAAAACTAAAAGCAAGTCTCCTGAAAAGAATGGAAGCTGTAACAAGGGCAAAAAGTGGAAACTGAAAAAACGTGTACTTAATGGCCGTTTGACAGGAATTCAAATAAAAGAATGGCAGTCACTGACTTCTGTACAGTACTGTATAACCCTCACTTCTCACCACTACTTCCATCTCCATCTAGACACACTCGTCTTCTTTTATAAGAAACATCTAAAAAAAAAAAACAGGATCAATTACACCTTAGGATAAATTAGTTTTTTTCATGTTCACAATCTTACGTATGGTATCTGCAGTCAGACTGATTTGCCTAATCCAGAGTACAGTACAGTTAGACTTTTATAGGGCTGTTTATCTAAAAGCAGAAGTTCAACAGACTGTGTACAATGTTCTTTGAAAGAAGGGAAAACAAATTTTGGCATCATCATGTGATCTAAATTTAGAGCACAACTCCAGAATGCACCTCCTCTCTCTCTTTGTCCTCGAATGAGCTTGTTTGCTTTCTCAGACTCTAAAGCTTCACTCTTGTGCTTGCATTAAGTGTTATGAGGCCTGAAGGACGCAAAGCTCTAAAAACAATTTGCCTGGACAGAGGACTAACAGACCTATCAACGTAGTTTTAGCAGTTTTGGAAAGTGTGCATCCTTACTCCTGATTGGCTATGCTGATGTCTTGCGCCACTGTGCCACGTGTTGCATGTTCTACTGCACTTAACTGAATGACGCTGTATAAACCTGAATGTACATATTAGCTAATATAAATACTCTGTATTTACTCTGGAATGGGCTGTGTTATAAGTGTCTATAACTGGCTGGGCGCAGGGGAGACGAGCTATTGTTTACACTTTAGGGCCAGGGGAACAAAATGTAACTGTAAAGTTGTATCAGTATGTGTGTGTCAGAGCAGTAACTATATTTAAAGAAATGAAATTGTATGAAGTTTTATTTGTATATATGTATGAGGTTTCAATGAAAACCTAATTCAGAGAAATTATATGTGATTATTTATTGCTCTTATTCTATAAAATATGTTCTTGCTGTTGGAAAGGCTCTTCTTTTCGTGCTTGATCACAACCTGCTGTGATTAAATGCCAAATTTGTCTTCTGTTGCCTTATATGCAAAATGTGAAGTTAGAAGAAGAACCATTTGAGTGACAAGTTGGTTTATACTAAGCATACAAAATGGTTTTATTTCCCTAAAATGTCCATTTCAACAGTACATTGAAATTACCATTTAAGATCTAATGCATGTTGTCTTGTGTAAATAGGACCACTGATATCAATCAACAAGTATCAACAGTTATAACAATATAACCATAGAAATCTACTTTATGACTAACACACCAACAAATTAATAGCAACGAAAGACAGCAAAATCTGATCACATACATAGTATACTGAGCAATGGATATACAACCATATAATCCATAGAATATTTCTGTTAATATGTGATAGCTCTTGCTGTTAAAATCATGCAAAAAGTGTGTCAAAAAGTTGGAAAAGTCACCGGTAAGCATGGTATGGTTAGAATACGAGCGGTCAGAACAATCAGTAAAGCTGTTATTCTTTCTGTTGACTCACATCCATTTACAAATTATGGGTTATTTATTACATGTTTGCCAAATATGTGTCTGTTTTCCTTTAAAGTTGTATTCTTCTGTCATCTTTAGCACCTTGAAGAATGCTGAAGAGATATAGCACTAAAAGGTCTGTTTTACAGATGACCTATAGGCATCCCTCTGCTAGTCCAATACATTTTGCTTCCTTTTCATGTTCATATTTCAATTTTGTGCTGGTGATAGCATTTACTTGTATGCATTAGGCAACATGGCTCTATGCACAATAACACTACTTTACAGTGGGCAAAGAATGGTCATCCCTTCAGGAGGTGATTCTGTGTCTTAGCTCCTAGTGTACTGGTTGTTTTTTTTTGTCAGACTGAGCCACAGTAAACAAATCCAATGCAGGTAAGAAACCATCATAGAGCAGCACCATGCACACTTAGCACCATGGTATCAACCTGACTACATCTGAAGTGTGTGCTCTCTCACTCTCAGAAGAAATGGCGTACACTTAATTCTGTGCCATGCTGAGGGAACTGTGCTCATAATTAAGCAATATCTTGATTGTATTAGCATTGTGTTGATCATGTCAGGATTCTGCATGTATGTTAACAGGAATACAGTGTGATGTCATGTCAGTTGTCCAAGTCAAAATATGAAGCATGGAGCACATTCAGACTTTGTCTTCAAAGATGCTTTTAGGATTTGCTGTGAGCTTTTACGCCTTTCAGCAGTTTTCTTTTATAGTACCATTCTTAGAGCGTATCAGAGATATTTGTCATAGCAGAGCTTACTTTGTCTTTGCAGTTTGCTTTTGACAGTATGTATGTAATGTAGAATGCATTGAGTGTTAGTTCTGTCTGTGTATTCAGTTTGCACAGTCCTTTTTGTGCTTAAGTAACGGGACATTGTGCTTCAAGTTCCATCCAAATCTTGGTAAAGAAAGTCATAAACATGATGTTTATGACATAATGTGCTATGGAGATTTAGAGCTTTTTAAGGGCTAAAAATTATTCATCTTCATTCACTCATCCTCTCACTTGTTCCTTCTACTTCCTCTGTGCCTTCATCTCTCATACTGTAGTGACAGAGAGAAGAGGGTTGTATACCCTGGTCCCATCTGGAGAACGTGATCCATGGGCTAGCAACTCTTGGATGGTGATCCAGTTGTCCAAGATGCGACGGTTGCGCTTTTTTGAGCTCTTCTTCTGACTCAGCTCCAGAATTGAGCCTGGAGCCTGGCCTAATTCCTGCTGACCCTCCCTCCCTGAATCCTGGCCCCGATCACGGAGATAATCAAGCCGGCACTGCATCATAAACTCACGACGTCTGCGTTGCTCACGGGCCCTTAGCAGCTGCTGTTTGCGCTCTTCTTTGCTCCAGTACCGGCCCATTTTCATTTCGCTCACAGCATCATCATCAGTGGTCATGCCGCTGCGCTCCTCACAGATCTTCATAGCCCGGGCCTTCAGCAAGCGGTCACGGACAGGACGTTTTGCCACATAGCGGGTACCGTCGCTACGGATCTTCACCTTCCACTCCATGCGTGGGGAGGCAGGGGGAAGAGGCAAAGGCAAATCCAGGGAGTGTTTGGCAGGGCTGGGATGAAGCACTGGGCCAAGGGTGCTGCTCCCTAAGCTCATAGGGCTTGCCCGGCCACTACTGCCCACTGGTGCCTCACTTTCCCCTTCCACGGTTCTCTCTATGAGAGTCTCTGAGAAAGAGGAGCCAAGCTGCATGCAGCTCTGGTATCGTTCAGGCGGAGGTCTGTTAGAGTGGTGGCGTCGGGTGAAGTATGGGCTTGAATCAGCACTCCGGCCTCCAGTTCTTTCATGGATACTGTTGGCTCTCGCACTCCTGCCCTGTGCTCCACTCTCTGCCAATGGACGAACAGTACCTTCCCGAGACAGAGAACGGAACTTCGGGTTGATGTTAGGGTTCATCTGGAACTTCTTGTAGCTGCTGGGTGAGTAGGAGGAGTTGAAACTGGCACGTCCCCTCTCACTCCAGCTGGGTCGGTCTCTGTGCCTTCCTTGCAGAGGAGAACCAGACTCTTCCATCTGGGTCACAGGAGAGAGGTTGTCACTCACCAAGGGTGTGCTTCTGCAGCTCTCCCCCCCAGTGTTGTAAGCACTGCTGGTGTCCTTGTCTGATCGCTCTCTCTCTGGGAGTTCTTTGATATCAGAGAGCTCATGGAGTGGGGACACCTGCAGGTCGGAGGAACCTCTCCCTGAAGCCTCCTCCTCCAACAGCCATGCTTTCAAGCAGCGTTCTCTGAGCTGTTGCATCTTTTGTGCCCGCAGAATGTTCCGGCACTTAAACTCAAGGTGCCGCAGCTCTTCCTCCAAGAGAGCCATCTCATGTGGAGTCAAGCTCTCATTGCAGTTCTCATCCAGACCCACTTCTTTCTCTCCATCCTCTTCCACTGCTTCTCCATCCCTCTTCTCTGTTTCCTCAACTTTTGGTCCCATGTTGCTCTTCTTCATATTTCTTTCATAGCGACACTTGATCTCCAGCAACTCCCGGTACCTCTCGCACTCCTCCTCGGTCAAGCCAGGCATCATCATGGAGCTCACTGGGTCATGTAAGTATCCTGCCCCTGCACCCCCACAGTCCAGAGAGTCCACGCTGAGATGTAGCTCTTTGATGTGGAGCAGCGGGGATGGTGTATCTCCCCCACTTCCGCCGTTCCTACCAGGCCTGAACTTGCGGAGGCTGTGTGGTGTGTTGGTGGTGTTGGTGTTGGAGGCACTAGTCTGCTCTTCACCCAGAAGAATGTCATGCTCAGAAGATTCTTCATTCTTGGTGCTCTCATCCGTGCGGCCCACACCACTGTCCAGCTCCTGACTATTATTGAGGGTGACCAGGCTAAGCATGGGTGTCTCCCGGTGTAATGGGTTCTCAAGAACCCCTGTTTGGACTCTTTGCTGCTGAAGACGATACAGACTGGGCAAGTGAGAGGTGTTGAGACTGTCCACACTCATGCCTACTGGTAAGTCACAATCCAGGTCCTCGGGGTCCATTTGAGCATCTGTCTTTTGGTTTTTGTTCATTTCACAGGAGGATGGATTATTATTTTGATGTGGGAGAGAAAAAAGAGCACTTATTAGAAGGCAGTTACCAGGCAACAGATGTGAAATCATCAATATTACTTAAGCTCTTTGAGTGAGTGCATGCACTAACACAGTTTAACACTAGATGGCAATGTAAATATACTGTGCTACAGATATTGTGAGTGAGACCCTCTGAAGACTGAAAAATATACACAAATTGTATATTAAATGCTTTAAAAGGGTAAGATTACCTCTTATCAAATATTATCTCTTCAAATTGTGTTTACTGCACAGAATCTTCATGTCAGGCAGTAGCTTCTGTGCATTCATGACCCTGCATGTCGCAGCTAGTACATGGGTGTCTTGATTTGGTTGAATTATATCTATTGAGTACTTCTGCCAGCTGGTAATCGATTGCAATATCATCCGAATGGTTCTCCAAATTACGAGGAAAGAAGCATTGATTATCTTCACTATCTGGTTGTGGCATGTCTTAAGCCCTTTCTCTGTCTTGCTCCTCACCTCCTCTTGATTTAGTAAGCCTGTAATCTCAGTGCCCTTCCCTCTTTCTCTGTTCCCCTCTCTTTTTCGCTGTCTCCCTTTCCTCTCTCTTTACCCTGTTCCTCTCCAGGAATGGCAGCTCCCTACATTACACCCCACCCCATCATTAATCACTTGTTCTTTTGTCTCGGTGAAGATAATACAAGAGGGGAGAACCGGAGGTACAGGATTGCTCTATTGTTGGTCAGATCTTGTTAATGTAGCACTCTGGTTCAAATGAGATCACTGTTTTATTCATTAGGGTACAGCTATGTTCATGGTTAATGGCTGTTCCGTAGATGTCCCATTGAGCTGCTAGCATATGTGGTTTTGTCTTTAGCAATAGCTTTTCTATTATGGCCTAAAGGTAAAGGTAACATTCACTTGCCTTTGCACAATTTGGTAATGTTTGCTTTTACAGTGAGAAGCATGTTAGTCTCATGTGCATGATCAATCCTTTACAATGAGTAAATCCTGAAATATTCTAGTGATACAGAGCCCTTCATACCACTTTCAGCTCCCATTGATGCCATATTTTACAGATATATTCCTGTGTTAAAAATGTAAAGCTTATGAATGCTCGTTTGTGCCCTTGAAACTGCAAAAAAGGCTGACTGAGAATAAATTCCCAGTTCTCTCCTTTACTGTGCCCTACAGTTGCATGTTCTCTATCAATCTTTCCTCCCCTCCCTGTCTGTACTATTCTCATGTCTTTTTAATGGTGCTCTCTCTAGTGTGTTTTCTAAACCCGCTTTTTCCCCTCTCTCTCTGATTTCCTTCCTTTCCTCCTCGTGGAATAGCGTTAATGGAACTGCTGCAAATCCTTGACGGGCATCACTAAGAGTGATCACATGATTCAGCCATGACTGATGCGAGTGTTCCATTTCCCTTCCATCAGCAAAACAAGCCATTAATTTTGGGATCTGTTGTCACTGGGGATGGAGTAGACGTATTAGCTATGCACATGTCTTTGAAAGCTTGTGTGCATGTGTGTAGTTCATCTAAACAAAATATCTATTGTAATCTAAACCTAATCTCAGGATTTTGTGTTTACCTCTATCTCCGGTCTGGCCAGTAGCAGTGAGAAGTTGATGCTGTCTTCTCTGGTAAGAATAGCCACTGCCTCCTCCCTGTTCTGGACATCCACTCCATTTATCTGGGAAACATGGGAAGGACAGTGGACTTGCAGCATTTTGTCACAACACACATTATTGAACAGCTTTGTTCCCAAAATAACAACCAGTCTAGCTGACAGTGAAGTTATGTACACTGAAGTAACAGTCATGTCATTGTTAATATCAAAACAGTTAAAACTGACATGCTGACAGAATGTAGGGAGTTTTGATGGAATAGTTGGTAGCTGTGTTATCATATTTGGAGATTTTCATTGATATTTGCTTATTCAGCAGACACTGTTTCCAAGTTGATGAAGCCCATCACACTTGGCGCTTTATCTTACAACAGAAGTTTCACATGTAGGTCTAGGACTACCTATTGATAATTATTGATTATGGTCATGAAATCGATAAGTATATATATATATTTATCTTCTTATATTCATGAGTATTCTGGCCTCCAATTGATGGTCTAAAACTCTAGCGCTGGTTTTCCTTCTCTTTACATGGACAGCAGTGAGTTCCCTTGTGAATGACACATTCGCTCACTGCTACATGAGGAAAAGAGCATTAGAAACAGTATTTTTCATGCTTTTTGTAGTTCAGTATTTAGTTGTCGTGAGTCACACCAAATCAGTTTTTACAGATGTAACACACTCAAACTTCACATCAAGTCCAGTGCGCTTTTTTATTCAACACTGAAAACATGTAAAGAAGACATGGATTCAGTGAGTAGCGAATGCAAAGTTATGATTTTTCTTTAAGCCAGTGTAACTCAAAGGTACAGACACTGGGTACCAACCCATTCTGCTAAGAAAGTTCAACAGCATGAGCAGATCAACTGATTCAGAGGAGCTGGAGAAGTTCTGCAGTGGCGCTGTATGTGTGTGTGTCCTTTTGGAGCTTCGAGCATTAACCCTCTACTTCATGCATTATGAGAGCAATTAAAAAAAAATAATTTCACTTTTTTGTATAACATTGTCCTTAATTTATTTTTTTGGACCTCATTATTAAATTCAAAAACAATATTAATGTGTGCAAATTTAAAATTTGATTTAAATGTGCCCACTAAGAGATAGTATGACCAAATACATGCTTTTATTGACTTACTCAAACTCTTTCCTTTATTGTTAACCCTATCATTGTCATTAAATATGTATAATTTTATTGTAAAGTGAGGAAAATGAGTTTGCTGCCCTGAGGCAACATTGTGCAACAGAAGGTTAAAATAAGTAAACAAAAATAAGAGATCAACTGTGAGCTCTGATATTAAAGATAGCATTAGTGTTTGTTTTCCCCAAGTCATATTAAAATGTCATGATAGAAATCTGCTCTTAGGGAACATGCTTTAAAATAATGGTTCCCGAATGGTGTGTGGCTTGGACATTTTGTTCTAGGAAACAACTTTACTTATTTTTCAGTGTATAATTCACTTGACCATCTCACTTTTAACAACAAGTGATCACAAACTGCAGCATGTACCTGCAGTATTCTGTCTCCCTTTCGAATGCGTCCATCTTTGGCTGCTATACTGTTGGGATTGACCTAAGAGAAAGAAACAGCTCCATTGATCAGTCAAGTTATAATCACAAGCCTACAATTTGCATTTCAGTGAAAAATGGCTACCATGGACTTTCACTCACCTCCCCTACATATATCCCCTGGTCCTCCTCATCATCAGTGCGGTAGCATACGGTCAAGCCCAGCTTGTCCTGCTGACTGGACTTGTAGAGCTCCACTTCCTAACAGAGACAGACAGGCGGCTCATGGCAGGACACAGATCAAAAACACTGGCTCGGACAAGCACAGCATGAGAGTGACTTCTAAAGAAGCAATTAAAACTCGCATACTGATAGAACGTTGGGGGTTATAATGGAATATTTGGTAGCTGTGGTGTCATATTTGGAGCTTTTGTGGTGGAAATTTTCATTGATATTTGTTTATTTGTTAGACACTTTTATGTAAGTGAGGCAAGTAGAGCTGTACAGCTGTGACAAGAGCCAACTTTAATGCAAGCGCTATACGACTATATTTCCATTTCAGGAAAAGCATAAGACAGTTGTAGGGTGTGAGAGAGGAACTAGATAAATATGTTGCAATGTACAAACACAGCACAATGCATGCCTTAAAGTGTAATGCAAAGAGAACGCGTATTAGTGTAATAGGAGGTTTAAACTGAGTTTTGTGAGGCTGCTTGAATGTTAGAAATCGTGGTGATGTGTTGAGATCCAAACCTCGTATTCCAGCTCCTCTTGTCGATCCACCTCATGGTTAGCAACGTCAAGGTAGTCATTGAGATCAGCACAGTCATGCTCCAGAGTGCAGCTATAAAGAGATTTCCTGTACTTTTAGAGGAGGCTTACACTGGAAAGGCTGTTATATCCTACGCTTTCTACTAATTTATGCACTTTTACCCCTTAACCCAAACATAGTTGTCAGCCAAGACATGTTTGATGTCCAAAGTTTGCTTTTTTATTTTGCACTGCAACTATGAGCCTATTATATCTACCAAGTAATAAAAGCTTACTAATTATCATAATGTAATCTGCATACTGTAATCACTGCCCACTTGCCTCAAACCATGTTGAATGAAGTAATCTCAAAGAAACTAAGGCATATAGTCTAATGCAAAAGTTTGGGCCTGATTACATGTTTTGTTGATTTTCTAAATGAAAATATACAAGTACTATTAATTTTGTTGAAAATCAACATATTGAAAGAAATAAACGGTGAAAAATGTGGTCTGTGCACAAGTTAAGGCACATTATATATTTCCCAATATGTTAAACTCAGCAAATACACAGAAATTGTGCACTGAAATTAGCAAAAAAAATACCCTGTGTGTTCTCTGTAGATGGTTTGTTAACTTATTTTGAAAAAATCAACAGAACATGCAATTTGACCTGTCTAATGTCTTGGCTGCATTGCTACATTGGGGTTTTTTTCTGATCTATGATCTATAAACCTGTCCAGGCCCTGTCCAGTCATAGATTTCATGAAAAATTATTGGAAAAATTTCAATTTAGTTCAAGCACATTACAGAGATCTGCTCCAAATCATTTTTGTTACGGATTTTTAGTGTGCCAGATTTTTAGTGTGCCTTACTTGTTAGTGTGCCTCAACAACAACAAATACATGAGCTTATTAGCTCTCAATAGGATACAGGCTCTCAGGAGCAAGGTTATTTCACAAGTCCAGTTTTTTTCTTTTTATAGTTTTACTACTTCTTTAAATTGTGCTTCTTAGTCAAAAGGCTCATTTTAAAAAATAAATTGCCCCATGATGTCAGAGCACATTTGTACTTTATTTACATGTTAATCAGATATAACTGTCCTTATTTAGGAAACAGGAAATTAGATTAGTCCCTTTTGAGAAAATATGGATCCCAAAGGGCCTACATAATACATTCTTATGTGTGAAGCTTCAGATGTTTCATTCAGAAATGAAACATTCACAGATTTGAATGAAATGTGGGAATATTACCTAAAACCATAATTAATTAACTAGTTGATTTAAAGTAAAATATTGTTTTAAATAACAGTCATTTTATAAGCAGTGAAACTTAATTTTTAGGTGAAGTTTAGATCCTTACAGACCAAACTCATAACTAAAAAACTTACTGGAGTAAATGAAGTAAATTTAAGGCATGACATGACTGGACAGGGCCTGGGTGAGTTAGCGTGAAATGACCCTTACAGTGTCTCTGCTGCAGTGGTAGGATGGAGTGAAGAACTATTCATCAATATTTAGCTGACACTCACAGTTCATTCAGCAGGTATGGCTCCACCAGTGGGGGCAGTGGAGGAGACGGAGGAGGTTTTGGAGAGCCGCCACCAGAGCAGGACCCTCGGCCTGTGCCCAGAAAGTTCTGGAAGCTGATGTCGGTCTGTGTAGAGTTGTCCACACAGTCTGTGATGGCCATTAGTCTGGCAGTGCCTGTGGTAGTGCCTGCTCTCCTCCTGTGTCCTTTACGTACTACTTGTAGCAGCAAAGGATCATGAGGATGCCCATCCTTATCTTGAGATAGATGAGAAGATCTTCTGCCTTTAAGCTGCAGAAGAGAAGAGGAAAAGGAAAAAGAAAGAGAGGAGTGTGAGTGAGTTGGAGGAGAAATCGTATTGGTATATAGAATTAAAAGAATGACTGGTCAAAGCATGCTCCCATTTTTAATATACACCTAAATTAAACATTAAAACTATTCTTTGCAATTTAAATGATAAACAGGGTATCTGCAGGTCATTATAGAGCTGTGTTCAGCAGATTATCCATAAGGGGGAGCTATTAATGCTCGGTCCGCCTTTGTGTGTATTACTGAAGCAAAAAGTAGTTATATATTCCATGTATGTACAATAAGTTTTGATGTTTTCTGTTACAAATTGTGTGTATATTGAGTGACAGTGTATATGAAGTAAAAGGTCTAGGCTAAAGCGCTTGCCATACAGCAAACAGGCTAACAGGCTCCTCCAGTAATATTCAGAGTTCCGGTTTCCCAAAGGATTCACTATAAAACTTACTGTGATGACTTTAAAAGCATTCCAGTGAATTTGCTGATGCCTGCAAATACCCTAAAAATGCCTAATTTGAATTCTCCTCCATATCTATTCTGCAAAAATTGGTGTGTTGTCAAGTAAAATTATCTTAGATCTAGGCAAAAAAAATCTAATATTTCTCTGACTGAGATTTTTGTAAGCTTAACTTAAGATTATTTAACTTTAACTTCTATACCGTCTAGACATTTTTACTTGTTTTAAGTAAAGTGAAACTATCTCACTATTTTGGCAGATAATTTTGCTTGTTTTAAGAGATAAACTTGAACCCAGCAAAATTATCTGCCAGTGAGATAATTTTACTTAAAATGACCTAAACAAGTAAAAAAATCTAGAAATAAGCTAGATAATCTTATAATAAGTGCACAGCCATCTCAAAATGTTAGATACATCGACTAGCTTTAAAATCATTTCACTTGACAAGAGACAGTAAACAGTAAGAAACAGAGCCTTTTTTGCCACATACTGTTTTTTATATGGAGAATATGCAAAGACTTCCTTTATATGTTTTCAATAAAGTCTTTTGGAATCTTAAAGACTTTCCATAGTATCTTATAGTCTTGCGGGGGCTCATAGTGTGATCTCATAATGAGAATACACATCTTCGGACAGCCTGTTAAACTAGCGACGGGCTCATTGTTCATTGGACAGTGATGACAAACGCATCATTGCGCTGTACTTCGATCTCCACCTTCACGAGGTATTGGATTGTTTCCCACTCAGCTTGTTCCCACCCTAATAAGTCTACGTTCCTGTATACGTCCCCTGATGTTCTCTTCACATGATCTGGACCCGCATGACTAAAAATGTCATTGTTCACTTAAATCTATTTTTATTGTGTAGCCATTTAAAAACACTGGATGTTTAATTAATTGTTAAAATAACTGGTAGATGACTCAGTTATTAATATAATCGATAGTATCTTAAAAGATACGGAACATTGTCATCAAAGCACCTTTATCTCTTTATGCACAATGTAAAAGGCAGCTAGTGTTTTAAATGGTGTAAAAGCAAAATTAAAAAGGGTGTTACAGGGTTTTGATGGAGTTACAGTTTTGATAGCAACAATAGAATAGAAATACTGAGAAAGAGAAAATGAGCATTTAAGGTAACATAAATTTTATACTTCAACCTTTACTTCGGCATCAATAGGACGCATCGTGTTGCCCTTCTGTTGAAAAGACCAGAGAAACCAGTGTTAATGTTTCTGTAAATGGAGAAATGTGTGTAACATTTGTATAACAAGTTGCAGTATTATTACATGGGGTCCTGATTAGTTGAACCCAAATTGCAGCTGAACAGATCATGATTAAAAACTGAATCAAAGATACCACAGTACAGCTGCTTGTACACCAGCCAGGCAAAATGTATCTTCAGCAATGTTCCAGATATCCCCAGGCTTTCCCAACTCTCATAATGATTTAATTTTTGTTCTTTAATTTTCCACTACATTGACTCTTTGCCAAGTCGTTAGATTTCTGCAGAAGAGCACGAGTGGAATACACATCAGCTCATTCAGCCCCCGCTCCCTCTCTCCAGCCCTGTGGGGTACTGATGAAGATAGCTCGGATGAACAGACGATTTATACTGCGGGAATGCAGTACTCAATCAATACGAGCTTAATCCTGCTGACGCTCGCCATGACCTCCGCCTCATTCCTCTGGACCCGCTCAGCCTCAACATAACTGACCCCTGGAGACCAGGGCTCATCTCAGCCCCTCATGGAGTTTGACTCTGCACCTCTCAGTGTCCAAACGAGACAGTAATCCATTTATTTTCTCTGTATGTATGTAGGATCATCGATCCAGTGGGTGGATTTGATTAAAAATAACTGGTTTGCTCACAGGTGTTCCAGCAGAGCACGACGAAGCGGAAGACTACACTGGAGGACATATGACCAACGCAGTATTGATTTCTAATGTACACTCTTAAAGATCATGGTGTCAGAAAGTGTTCTTTGGAGTGATGCCATAGAACGGTGATTACCAATGCTCCTGTAGTTCTACTCTCCTACAGAGTTCATTTCCAGCCCATATTTAACACACCTGATCCGGTTAATTACATTAATGATCTGGATACTTTTGGGTCTAAAAAGAATAAGGATATAAAAATGATTCTGAAAGTCTGGAATGTTATGGATCATTTACAGCAAAATGAAGCGATTTTTGTTTCACGTCTCATTAATGTCTGTAGAGGCAGATGTCAGTTTTGTGTGGGGGACTGTGGGAGCAAGTGCCAATGGTGTGAAGAACAGAGAGAGAACACTAAAAAGTTGACATTTTCTCAACTTCATGCAAATGTGAAGTGAGTTTCACTGGGCGCCATATTGTTGTCAGAATCAGACTGTTGCCGCCATTAGTCAGCGAGGTAAGCTTTTTGCTTTACTGTAATTTAAATGCAGTGTTAGAACCAATTATAATCATATTCAGTAAAGCCTGCATTTGTATATTTGTAGGGCCTGACCATCATAGAAGCCAATAATATCGGCCGATTTTGAAACCCTGCGATTATCTCCATCCTGGTGAAAAGTTGCAGGTAACGCACTGGTGATCGGTACCTTATTTGGTCGTGGTATCACCAGGATTTGGACTTAATGATGCTGTGCCACTGCAAAATAATATGAGTCACCACACATTTAAATGTATGACATTAATTCAGGCTGGACAAATAAATATGAACACAAAATACCATCACGGTTAGTATTACAAAATACGACATATATCTAAACTGGAGTGTAATGTGAGAATGAGAATAATTTGTCGTAACACAAACTGCGTTTTTTAAGAAGAGATCTAAGGAAATATAAGGAATAAAGGTAAATAACAGAAACCAAAACCACAAACCACCGCCAATCCTAGAATATGTATATTATTTCAGACTGCAAGTTTCTGCAGTTTATTTGAGCTTAAAGCTCATTACATACCAAATGCAATGCAAATACATGACACAAAAATGCAAAATATTCAGAGACAATTTTTTTGCATCAAAACTATACACACTGGACATGAGTGTGAAAAAACACAGGTAGAATATCTATCAAAATGTCCTTTGCTTCTCACGAAACAGGCAAACTATGGAATTGCGGAGGGTGGTTTCCACTTGGGAAAAGCCCAAGGAGAACAGAGAGTTGCACCAGGAGCTGAAACTTTATGAACTTTTTTACTCACAGCTCAGATCTCTGTAACTCGGTCTGAGCTCATCATTTCATTCAGAATCTGAAATTTTGAGTGCTTCCAAATAGGCTATAACTTGGATGTTCGTAGCCCAGTTTGAGCTGCTTTTGAAGATTCTGATCGTTTTAGCATTTGTGGAAAAGTTCTATTTACTGGAACACAGCTCTTCTGTCATCTTGGTTGTTGCCATGCCAACACCAAAGACAACTGTGATGGGTCAGACAGTTCATGTCACCAGCAAAAGTTTGAAAGGGCGAATAAAATAACATTATATAGTAAATCTATCATAAATCATATTATTAATGTCATGTGTGAAGGCCTTAAGGAGTGTGGCAACCAAGAGCTTTCCCTCGTATCAGTTCACTTAAAACTACATGAGTATGAAATTAAAATGTAAATATAAAATTATTTTGGCTTTTATCAGATATCAGAAATTTAAGCCATTTGTTCTTGGCCACGAAATGTTCATATCGGCTGGGCCCTATATATTTCCAGAAACATCTTGGGCTATTTTCAAAAATAAAAATCACAAAAAGTTTGTTCTTATTATTTTCTTCATTGAACTATTGTGTAAAAACTGTGTTCAGTGTGTTTTTAAAAGAATCTAAAAGAATCAGATCAAATCATTGCCATTTGAGATTTCTTGATACATTGAATGATTTCCTAAAAACTGTATATAATCAAACTGTTATGAGGTCAGACAGTTAAAACCCTACTGAAGAACTTTTGAACTGAATAGTTTCAATTGATTTCTTCAAAGAACCATGAATTCAAAGGTTCTTGGGAAATTTCTTTCATGGCATCACTCCAAAGAACCTTTTTTCTTTTATTTTTAAAAGTGGAAATCACCTTGACAGGTACTTATGAAGTACTTTTTAGGTCTTCTCTTGAGTAGGGATAGGTAAATTCTAGCATTCATAGCTTTGAAAGTGACAAAAAGGTAATTACAGTCTGGTGAGTGTGTTGAGTTAGTCTAGGCTAGAGATGTAACTACGGAGTGTGTTTGCTGTGATGGTGTTTATTTTGTACAATTAAGTGGGCCACAGTGTTCTGCGACACAGGGCTGCTTATCAGCATGAAGCCAGGAGACAGCAATTATGTCTCTTTATCTCCTAATACACCTCTATTGACCTTCAACCTCTACATTTGCCCTGGTGGAATAATTGCATTTCTAATGAAACAGCCGCTGTCACGTATAAACACTGGTAATCAGGTGGACTTTCTGCACCTACTCACTCTCGACATTTCCAGATCTTAACCAGAGGATTACTGACTGTCGTGTGCAAATACACTACAGCAGTGGTCGGCAGCCTGCCGCTCTTTTGCTGCCCTGTTGCAGCTCCACAGCAGAATCAGATTTTTAGGTAAAAATAAAATAATCCTCCTTTGCACTAAAATAAAGCTCTGCTGATCGTTCTAACGCAGTTTAACAATAAATGGTCTTAAACACTGGAGTTAAAGTATTACTGCTGATTCACCCTTTAACCCTGAAGGTTGGCAGGCAGACTGCTGGTCACCATAGCAACACAGACAAAAATCTTGCCTAGCTAGTAGCGAAAAGACAAAGAGAGAGATTAAACACGAACTTCGATAATTTAGAGACGAATGGACTTAATTGTGCTCATAAGCACTCAGCTGGTTTCCTGATATGTTTATTCTGCAACGAAAATTCAAACAAGAAGTTGGCTTGTAAAAAAATCAAAAGTTGAGAGACATTTTACAAGAAACTATTCCACTTTTCAGGAAAAGTTTCCTGTCGGAGATGTGAGAAAGCAGCTATAGCTGAGCTAAAGATTAAATTAGAGCAAAATAAGTGTGTCTTCATGTATATTAACATTTTTAGCCTATACTAACACATTAGCATGTACTGAGGCATATTTACAGCCAAGATGGTAAAATTGACATAAAATGTTGTGGCTCTCAAGATCGTTTAATTTTTGTTGAAAGGACAAAATGGCTCTTCTTAACATTTGGGCTGTGGACCCCTGCACTACATCCTAAAAAAATTAAGGAGCCAAAAAGGGTTCCCTGGATACTTTTACTTCTCTTTCAATCAGTTGTTCTTTAACACAGTGGGTCCTCATTTGTGCTCAATCCAGTTCCCAACACAAAGGGAGAGATCGTTTAGAGCTGCCTGAGGGCCAGTTTGAGAATGCAATTTTGTTAACGAGATTTGTGAGCGTGAAGAACCTTTCTAAATCTTAAAGGATGGTTCTATACCGATTAAAGGTTACACTTCCAAGCCAATTTAGGAACCTTTATTTGTGAGACTGCTAATGCTTTAATGGCTCCATCAGCGCAGATATGAGCTGCTGAGTTGTTATCACACTGACTGTTGGTTGTTAAGAAACAACTGGTCCACGAGCTTTTACATTCACTTTCTAGTGATCGGAACTGATGATGCTCTATTTTTTTTCTCTTTCTATTATCACTCTTGTCCCAGTCTTCTTGACCCAATTAAATGTGGCACTGAAAATGTCATGCATGTCTCTTTATAAAGGTTGGGCACACTTTGGTTAAGTAGGTCGTTTTTTTTTTTCCTGATTCCATTTTTGTTGTTGGTCGCAAAACTGTCCTGTGGTCTCTTCGTTTCATGTCTTTTTTCCTGTCGTCTGACTTTCTTTTGATAAGGGTTGAGAGAACAGGAACCCAATTCTCTGCTTGTCTAGAGGCTCCAATCTCTCTGTCTCCGTGTTTGCCTCTCTCTATCGCTCTCTTTCTCTGTCGAGCCTGGATTGAACCTTAACCTCCATTAATCGTGGGGTTTCTTCAGCCTTGATGTACAGGGTCTGAACTGGAGAGGCGTGAACCCCCTGAACGTAGAGGTTCTGCACTTGCTGGACGGAGTCAGCCAGGGGTTGCGGAGGAAACGGTGGAGAGAATAGAAAGAAATGTTACTGGTGCCCAAAATGTCACTGTGAATTGGTTTCTCTATAATTTTGCAGTTCGGGGAGGAGGTGTAGCAGGGCAGACTGTTTTTATCTTCGCTCTCTTTCAT